AATATATATATATATATATATATAATATATATATATATATATATATATATATATATATATATATATATATATATATATATATATATATATATATATATATATATATATATATATATATATATATATATATATATATATATATATATATAATATATATATATATATATATATATATATATATATATATATATATATATATATATATATATATATATATATATATATATATATATATATATATATATATATATATATATAATATATATATATATATATATATATATATATATATATATATATATATATATATATATATATATATATATATATATATATATATATATATATATATATATATATATATATATATATATATATATATATATATATATATATATATATAATATATATATATATATATATATATATATATATATATATATATATATATATATATATATATATATATATATATATATATATATATATATATATATATATTAATATATATATATATATATATATATATATATATATATATATATATATATATATATATATATATATATATATATATATATATATATATATATATATATATTATATATAATTTTTTTTTGTTTTTCGAATGATAAAATAAAGAGTTATTTATTTTGAAATACCTTTGGTGGTACCACTAAGGTAGCTATAGAATTTGCATCCAAACTCACATGAAGTAGAATTCTAAAACATGTTGGGATTGTTTTTTTTAAAACTTTATTTTATATTTAAAACTAAAATGTACTACTTTTTAATATATATTGTTATAATAATAATATTGTTATAATAATAATATTGTTATATCAATAAGGTAACTAAAATTATTTATAAAAACTACATGAAAAGCATTTTTTTAAAAGACCTATGTTACATCGTTATTGTTTTTAGAAATACTTAAAAGCAATAATTATCCGGTAAAGTATATTTTGAATAATATAAATTTTGTAATTGTTAATAAAGATAATGAACAATTTTTTAAAATCATAATATTATGGAAAAAATCTGAATGTCAAAAAAACTCAAAGTTTGAAAGAATGGACTTGACTCCTTTTTAAAAAAACTCTTTCATATTTAAGAAGTCAAAATATTTAAACTTACACAGTCCGATAAGCAGTTGATCAGATCAAATGGTTTTGACGTATTACAAGCTTTCATGCACTAAATTCAAAAAATAAGCAAGTGTAAGACATTAGATATTGCAAAGTGAAAAGTTTTTACATAAAAAAAAATAATTTCTTGCCAATAAATAAAAAAGTGTGTCTCTCAGTTGTTTGCCGGTTATTTTTTATTTTTGTTATTATTTTATTTTGCATTAAATAACTTAAAAAACAAATGCTTCTCTAAACAATATTTAAACTAGAAGGTAAGCAGTTTTGAGTTTAAGCTTTTACATAGTTTTTTAGAACGGTGTAAACTGACTACTAACAAGACTGCCTTCTAAAAATCTATAGATAAGAAAATAAATTGAGTTTTTATTGCATTTTAAGTAGATCTTTTTAACTTCGACGAAAACTTTGCAGTGACTTTGGTAATGAAGATGTACTTGTACTATATATTACAGAATATGATATCTTTTTGAAATAAAAATAAAAAAAGAGCAAACTTTATCGTAGCGTCCAAAAGTCAATAAATGATTACTAGTATGGATTAAACATATCAAAACAGCCAAAAAGTTATATATACATACCGATTAGTAAAAAAAGTTAAAATCATGCTAATCTACCTTAAATTGACATTTTTTTTAATAAACTCGTTATAATCATAATCTTTTTTAAACTTTCTAAATATAAATAGTGATAAAAAGGGTTTGAAACAAAAATGTATTTGTATTTGTATTTGGTAATGAAAAGCAATATTATCAAATTTTTATTGCATTTGAATAAAATTTTCTTTAAGTAAGTGTATTTGTGTTTGTTTTTGATTAAATATATTTGTAAGTTCCATTAACTAATTTTTCTGTTGATTGTTTTTTTTTAAACTTGTTTTCATTGTTCTATTTAGTCATTCATTTTCATTTTTGTTTTCTTAAAAAAATATTTTATTTTTACTTGGGAGTCAAGAACTAACGTAGTTGTTTTTGAATTTGATTATATTTGACCCCATTCTTGGCAACAACACAATTTTCTACTTGTATTCATTATTTAAGTCAACATGCTTTAAACTGAATGCTTTAAACTGAAACTGAACAACATGCTTTAAACTGAACAACATGCTTTAAACTGAAACTGAAAAATTTTAGTGAACTTTGTAAATAGTTCTAGTAATTTTTAGTACACTTTTAGTTTGTATAGGTAATAATCCCAGTATTATTTATTTTGACTTGTTTTTCCGCCTTTTTAATTTTGTTGAACTAATCCCATTTATTTGATTTTTCCATCACATAAACCACTAAATCTTGACGTACATACTCACTTAACCATTAAAAACTTCCTTTTTATATTTTCAGAGATAGTAGTTTGAAAGTGTTTATATCATAGTATGTTCTCCTTTTAATCACATTAACAAACAAGCATCAACTTCCAATCTTGAGTTCCAATAAGAAATCTTTATCGAAAATTGCGACATTGGTTTTTAAATGTATAACTGCAGAAGCACCAAAATAGTTTTTAATTGGCATATTTATTTTTATATTCTAGCTTGCAATATAATTATTCTGAAAAAATCTATGAACAATGTCGGCAACTAAACAAAATTAAGGATCTATCACTGTTGCATTAATAATGGTGTTGTTTTAACTGTAATGAAATTCCCGTTCACTGTGGTAACTTTTTTTTGTAAGTTCAACATTTACCAGTTTTGAAATATTACAGTTAAAAAAGAATTTAAAGCCTTTCCCTGTTTTAAAAAGATTATTCACATGATTAAAGTTCATGTTTATGAACTGATTTATCAGATGTAAGATTTATTAGGTGCAGACCTTTAATTGGTTTTGCGTAAGTTTGAGCCATCTGATATTTTTGAGCCATCTGATATTTTGAGTTGATGAATTGAATGAAATGATGAAGAAATCGTTAGAGATAAGAGTTGTTATGAAACTAAACAAGAAATGTGATTAAAATTCAAGCGTATATTTGCTAACAGTTTCAAAAAAAAATCTCATCTCAATTCAATTAAATAGTTAAATGACTGTTTTACAATTATTGTTTGATTATTTATATTTTATTATATTATATTAGGAAATTGTTTAATATTGATGTCTTGCAACTTTGATAATTATACTTAAAAAGTTATTATCTTGTTAAACATTTCCATAAAAACTTGTTAGAAGTAAACTTTGATTTGAATTAGGAACTGAAATAAAAAGTAATATTGTTGAATTCATAAAAAATAAACTAAAATTATTTTTATGAGTACTGATTTAAAACTGAAATATATTATTAATCTGTTTTAAAGAACAGATCAATAAAATATTTATAAATATTATTAAACAGATCAATAAATAAAATATATATATATATATATATATATATATATATATATATATATATATATATATATATATTTTTTTTTTTTTTGTCCTCGTAAATGGCGTTTTTTTTTGTAAAAATATGTCCCCGTAAATAGTTTATATGCAAGGCGAAAAGCACATACATCGACTGACAAATAGCCTGACTCGCAAGAAAGTGCTGCTATATCAACTGACAGGAAAAAAAAACAAGGAAAAAAAAACAACAACCGTAAATCAAGCACTAGTAGTGTATATATATAAATATATATATATATATATATATATATATATATATATATATATATATATATATATATATATATATATATATATATATATATATATATATATATATATATATATATATATATATATATATATATATATATATATATATATATATATAATATATATATATATATATATATATATATATATATATATATATATATATATATATATATATATATATATATATATATATATATATATATATATATATATATATATATATATATATATATATATATATATATATATATATATATATATATATATATGTATATATATATATATATATATATATATATATTTATATATATATATATATATATATATATATATATATTTATATATATATATATATATATATATATATATATATATATATATATATGTATATATATATATATATATGTATATATATATATATATACATATATATATATATAAATATATAAATAAAAATTGCGATTAACGTGGAAAAAAAATTTACTCGTAAATCAAGCACTAGTAGTGTATATATACATATATATATATATATATATATATATATATATATATATATATATATATATATATATATATATATATATATATATATATATATATATATATATATATATATATATATATATATATATGTATATATACACTACTAGTGCTTGATTTACGAGTAAATTTTTTTTCCACGTTAATCGCAATTTTTATTTATCTACTTTTACTATATTTTTCACATATGTGAATTTTTTTATATTTTAATTTTATGTCAATTAATATTTTTTTATTTTAAAATTTATTATTTTTGTAAAAAAATTTTTTTTATAAATATTTTTATTATTTTTAAATAATTATTATCTTTTGTAATTTAAATTTATATATATATATTTAAAAAAACAATTATTTACATTAATTTAACTAATCCTAACCCTAAACCTAACCCTAAGCCTGACCTTGCTGCCTGGCCAAACCAAACCTTCAGTCAATGTAGCAGCACTCCCCTGCGAGTCAGGCAAGCCATTTATGTATAGACAAACGGGTTTATGTTAGGGAATTGGATTTTATAAGAATTATAAAGACAGGAAGTCTAGCTTCTCAAAGAAAATATATTAGGAGTTTTTAACCACTTAAAAATAAATAGCTTGCTACCGACTATACAGAAATAATTAACTGAAATGCTACTACGTTTTTGCCGCCACCTTTGCTGCGATTTTTTTTTGATACAGATATTTGGTCAAAGGTCCAATCCTATAACACAGTGGCTAAGTGGAATTTTGAAATGTTTCCATGTCATACCCAAGCAGTAGACCCAGTGGTCACCGGGCCAAAAAAAGACGTCTATTGAACGTTTAGAAGACGTCTGAAACGTTTAAAAGACGTTTCAAAGAAATATAAAACGTTTAGAAGACGTTTTTTGAAACGTCTCTTTTATGTCCGTGTTCACTGTTGAACGATGCATAAAGCTTGTAACAGAGACTTTACAAAAATTTACTGGCATAAATTCCAGAGATGGCGTTATAAGAACTACACAAAAATCCAGAGTCTCATTGCCTAACTTTTAAATCAAATCATATTTTAACTACCGACAGAAATAAGCGAAAAGTAAAAGAATATATTCTTTTAAATATATATATTTCTTCAAAATATATATTTTTCTTCAAAAAAACTTTTGTCGAAAAGATGATTTTTTAATAGAAAAAAAAAAAACGATTTCTTGTTTTCCGTTCCAATACTTTTTTCTACTTAAATTGTCTCTAAAGATTTGTTAAAGAATATATTCAATTTCATTTCATTTGTTAGAAAATTATGAAAAGCAAATTTTTTTTGATTATTTAAGCGCGATGCGCTAGCTCCAGATGTAAAGTATTAATATTATTATTTTGCATCATCCTTAGGTACCTTAAAGACAAGTTTTTTTGCGGTATATTGAGTCAAAAATTAAAATAAAATTTTTTTCGGCCCACCGTTTTGTTTAGCCTTTTTATTTCTTTTTAAGATAACCTTAGGAATCTAGCAAAACTGTTTTTTATGACCGATCATACGATAGCGCAAGTGCCATTTTTTTATTTATTTATTTCAGAGCTGCGGTTAGCAAATGCTCACTGCAGCAATTAAATAAATATATAAATAAATGGAAAGCCACTTTAGCAGCAAGTTTGAAAAATACGAATTGAAATTTAAATTCCTATGATAAAGTTCATCAAGACTTTTTTTAAAGTTAAACACTGACTTATTAGGTTCAACATAAAACGGCAAATTGTTCCAAATTGAAATAATACAAGTAGAAAAAAATTTTCTACTCGAATGTCTACAGGTCTCACAAGTATATCTATGATTGTGGATATAGCAAAAAACACTTACAGCTGGTCCAGTTGGACAACAAAATGTAGCTGATAAGAATAAATAAGACATTAAAATGTTAACTAAATTG